ACACACACACACACACCCATACATACCTACACATACAAAGAATAAAGTAAGATTAAGTTCCTGGCTTAGCCAAGGATACAAAATCTTACTGGAAATGTGGTGGTTCCAGGGCAGGAGCAGATGTGGCCTTTCTCAGCCTATCTTCCCTTGACCCTGGAGTTCCTTCTGGCTCTGTTTGGATAAAGAAAGCCTTTGCCACACCTGTAAGCTCAAATCTTACTAAGCCCCTGCCCTTTTATAATCACAGCTCACATCACCAATCTGGAAAAACTGGTGCCAACAATGCATGAATTTCTGCTTACAGGACCATTTACAAACATTACATACTTCTGGAGCTCTGGCCACACTCTCAGCCTCACCAAAGCAGCACCCTCATCCTGAGGGACAGTGGCAGAGTTAGGCTGGGGATACCACCACTACCTCTGCCCCCAAAAGCCCATTTTCCTAATCCATCCCCTCACTCTGACTTTATGACTTTTTCTTGGTTGGATCAAAGACTGATTTCTGACTGAGGACCATGCTCACAAATCCATTTCCCCAGAAAATCAAATCAAATTAGAAAAAAGCAAATTGATCTTGGAAGGTGAATTTTGAACAATAAGGCAGGTTGAATTAGAAGAGGGAGATGAAAATCTAGGCAGTGTTTCTTGGGGAACTTTTGGATACTTCCAGAATCTCTCGTCATTGATGGTCACGATCAGACTATTTGTTCTTACTTTGCTTTCAGTCTCACAGTTTTGTTTCCCTTGGCAGTGGGAGACCACCATACTGCTCACATAAACAGAATCTATATTTTTCTTACAAATTGAGGGCAGAGGGAAGAGTGAAATATTTTTTAGGAGACATTGAGCAGGAATCAGAAAAAGAAGAAAATGGAATAGGACTAAAGACAGTATTTATGGACATTCTGGGGGGTGCTCTGGGGAGGATGTGGTGGCCATGATACCACTGAATATTTGTGGAGCACTTAATGCACTTTTCGAAATGGTTTACTTGTATTAACCCATTTAATGAGTGAATTAATGATTTAGTTAACTGGCTAATTCATTTAATTTTTGTCTTGAATTTAAGGCAGAAATAAAAGAGTTAAATAATGAGCATGAATTGCATGACAAAATGATCGTGAGAAGGATATTATTCTCCCACCCCAGTTAGCAAAGTTGTCAAAAGCCAGTTTCAGGACTAAGCAACCAGCTCTCTGACCTACAGTGCTCTGTGATTCAGGACACCAGTAAGTGGGAAATAATCAGAAGTCCTCATTTCCTGTTCCTTGACTTTAAGAGAAGGATGGATTAGATCATTTATGGAGATAACAGAGCTTTCTGAGAATATGAAGAAAGCCATAGGATAAGGTACATAACACCAAATTTAATTAGAGAAATATCAGATCCCAGGTGGATCAGATAGGATAGTCTAGGTTATGCTGCAGTAAAAATTAAGTCTTAGAGGCTACAACAATAAAGATTTGTTCTTGCTCATGATAGATGTTCATCATGGGTTAGCTTAGAGTTCTGCTTCATGACTCCTCAATCAGGGATCCAAGCTGACACATCCTGCAAACCATCTGGGGTATCACTCATTGCTGGGTTAGGGGAAGGCAATGTGGCAGATC